CCAGGTCAGCAAGAGTGAGGGTATACTGACCATACCGAAGTCGGGNATTCGGGGCATTCTCGGTATTGAACCGGAATCTATCCATGAAGTCTGATGCCATGCTTACCCAACTCGTCCATTTCCTGGGGTCCTGACTGATATACCAGGATAGTGCATCTCCCTTCAAGCTCCTCATGAAGAGCTCCATGCGGATTTTCTCATCTCTTCCAACCCCAACTAACTTTTCGCAATAGGTCCTCAGGTGAACTATGGGATCTCCGGATCCATCAAACATTTTGAACTTGGGAGGTTTGTACCCCTCCGGAAGTTCAACAGCTGGTTAAATGCACAAGTCTTCATAGTTCGGCCCCTCAATGCCTTTGCTACCTTCGACACCCTGGACCCGACTGGTTAACTTCTTGAGTTGGGCTGCCAAGTTCCTGATGAGGGAGTCTTTTTCATCAGACTCAGGTGCATTTGAGATCGGTTGGGTGTAGTGAGGTACAGTTTCCACAAAGATGGGAGTGTTATGGAGGTGGTCGTTTATGGTGTTTGGTGGCTCGGGAATGAGCAATGGAGTGGTGTTGCATGTGTTGCAGGTTTGGACGTGAGCAGGCTATATTTGTGGTTGTAGGGTGTTTTATGGAGGTGACATCAGGAGCAGCAAGAGCGAATGATAGGCTTGCCAAGTTCCGAACTTGGTCCAACTCTTCCTGGAATTTCAGCAATTTTTGTTCAAGATGAGCAGCAGTTCCCTTAGCAATTTGGGTACCCTGAGAAGTTTCCTCTCTTTCAATCTCCTTTCTAGCACTTGTGTTTCCCATTTTTTCTTTGTTCTTGTTCCGGACGGGACTTGGAGGAGGAGGCGGTGGAGGGCCCTTGGATCTTGTGGAGTATGCTGATGGTGCCAGAATGCACGAACTAACCTTTGGGGAGGGGAATAAGAAATAAAAGAAAAACAAAAAAAAAGGTAACAAGTTAGTGCGGGTTATGAGGAAAAAATACTGCAGTATTTAAACACATTGTGCGAGAATATAAATCGCGTCCTAATTTTGGATGCCTCGTTGTGCCCGAGATAGGCCTAGCGTCAAATAGTTTTGGAGAACTTATAATGCTAAATGCCTCATTTTATTGATAAAAATAAGACGAATCCCAAAACGACGCTAAAATTGCATAAAGTAAAATGTCACTAATGGCCATTGGCCTTATTACATTTTAAAGCGAAAAAGAAAAGAGACTCCTAACTACTTGGTCCCAGAAGGACCTTACCCAGGTTGAATGCTCTCGTTGATCAAATCCTCCAGCTCGCGTAGGTTCAGCAGTAAAAATGCCTTTGCCAGGCGTTCTCCGTCGTTTCCCTCAGCGTTCTGGCAGTCGGTGACTCTTTTTCTTACTTTCCCTTCCAATTCCAGCAGACTGTATTCCAGATATTCCAGCTTTTCGCTAGCCTTGGTGACCCTCTCTTTCCATTCATTGATATGGTCATTTGATGGGAGATTCCTCCACCAGGTCAGCAAGAGTGAGGGTATACTGACCATACCGAAGTCGGGGACTTTGTTCTCCATTTTCTACAAAACAAAAGGGTTAAGACCATACCCCCCACCGGACTCAACTATTTAAACCAATAATTAGCATTGCAAGCATTTAAGTTCTCCAAATAAATGCACAGAACATGGAGGCGTCCGTTTGGGTTTCAAGGAAACCCGGTGGACTTTGGACAAGGCTATTTTAATGAGTCATTATGTGGACAACATAACTGACTCGGTTAGGTTTGACCATGATGCATGTACAGTTTAACGGAGTAAGGTTTCTATCTTGAAGTGCTAGACTGGTACCCTTGAGCGGACAACTCAAGAGGGAAAGGCACGGAACCATCGACTACACCGTTGATCGACTGGTTTTACCGCAAATATGCCTTTGCCAAATTTAGGGGGTGGTAGTATTGGAAGTGCGCAACTACTCATTATAAGCGTTGCTATAGTATTTGTTTGGCCCGAGTGGAATATGATGTTGAAGATGCAGTTTACAAGGATGAAACAAATTGACATGTATTTTCATGTTCATACAATAAAGTTTACAATGATTGTTCAGAAATTACAACAGTATTGATGGAAAAGCAATAAATGAAAGTAATTAAAGAAAAAGAAACAAAAGAAACAAGTTAGCTTCAAATAAAGACATTAAACAAAAGCAATAAAAGAAAGCAATAAAGTCACGTATAGCATGCAATGGTAAAAGCCTAAAGAAGTCCCCAGCAGAGTCGCCATGCTGTCGACGCCCCCTTTTTCCTCGCGGAATCGGGTTCACGACATTTGGGAAGACAACTCTTTTCCCACTTTGGGAATTGGGTTTTTTGAGAGTTTGGAGAGTCGCCACCTAATGATTATAGTGCATTAGGACACTTTTAGAAGAATTAAAGATGCAGACAGAGTTTTGGGTAAGGGCTTGAAATTATCTCGAGGTGAAGGTGTTAGGCACCCCTCAAGATCCACTAGTGTTGTTCCCGGCCATGCAAGTAAAGGAAAAGGTCAAGTACTTAGTGCAAATAATCCGAAAGATCATGCGAGAAGCAGAAATTGAAAATGCAATAGCTTTAAAGATTCAGAAAATTTTGTTAAACTAATAAAGAAGGAGAAAGGGGTCCTAGGTTTATACAGTACATGGATCATTCGCACAACACTGGCACTCAGTTGTACGCGGAGTGTTATCGTGTAATCATCATCTCCATGTCTACCCTTCCCACCCCGTTAAGGTATTAAAGCGCGGAACGGTATCGTTTACTCATCGCATGCTATTACCCGTCCCAATCCTATTAGTCCCGGGGTATTAGGACTTCTAATCCTAAAGGGGAAGAAAGGGATGGGGGCCTTTGTGGAGTTTAAAGGATAAAATTCTAGCTCGACATTCAAAACAAGTATCAAGTAAAAGGGGAGGACAAGCAAGCATACAAGGCTCAAATTAACCCCAGAAGTCAAACAATCATTTAGTTTAGCATGCCTTGACAAATACTGATTTGGTCTTAGATTAAATTAAGCAGCGAGCGGACTGGTTCAACACATGTATTTAAATAGAGAGTCTGCATTCTGCAACTCGGATACAGTTGTCAGGGACTGACCCAATTCATTAATTAGCCAACCTTTGTTTATGAGTTGAAATAAAAACCTAGGCGTAGGATCTATTAATTTCAGGAAAAAGATGCAAAGAGTTACCGGTAGTTTCAGAAAAGATGCAAGTTGATTTTAGAAAAAGAATTATCAGTTTAAACAAAGAGAAAAGATGCAAACCGATTTTAGAAAAGAGTTACCAGTTGTTTCAGAAAAAGATGTAGACTGATTAAAAGGTTTACGAGTTTCGGGGGAGTGCAGATTGGTTATAGGAAAAAGGTTTACCAATTTTAGCGGGTTTCAGAAGTAGAAAATTACCAGTTTTAGTAAAGACACTAGTTCCAGCAATCGATACTGCTTAAGAACGAATGATGCTATTAAAGATGAGGTTTCCTATAGGCATGCTTTCTATACGTTGCCGATTTTAACACCCTTTCATGACATTAATAGGAGTCTTATACACATGATGTCTATATGCAACTTTGTTATTGAGCCTATAAACGGTTTGCCTAATGACATTTGTATATGCAGAAATGCAAGAGCCTATAGACATGATCTCTATATGTGTCATTACAGAACATGAATGTTAAATCCTATAGACATGCTTTCTAGGTGATTTTGCGGTAAAATTATGTGACGACCCGACCCGTCGTCTCATGAAAACCGCTCCGTTTCCCCCATTTCCTGCTTCGTTATGCTTCATTATCAGTGTCTTGTGTGAACGAGTTGAATTGGGTTGATTTTTGGAAGGAAATGAGACACTTAGTCTCTTTTAAGAAGGCTTAAGTTGGAAAAGTCAATCGGACGTTGACTTTTGTGTTAGAGGGCTCAGATTTGAAATCCGATGATTTGGTTAGCTTCAGGGGATGATTTGTGATATAGGAGTGTGATCAAAAGTGATTTTGGAGGTCCAGGGTAGAATTAGGCTTGAATTGACAAAGTTAGGATTTTGGCGAATTCCGGTCATTCGGAGGTGTTTTGGTTGGGTTTTTGATCGAATTCGTGTTTCGGAAGTTTTGGAAGAACTTAGGCTTGAATTCGATGAGAAATGATGGTTTTAGTGTTGTTTGAGGTGTTTTGATGATTGGAGCAAGTTTGAATGAGTTATTGGATCATGTTTGTGTTTTTGGTTGAGGTCCCGGGGGCCTCGGGGTGATTTCGGATGGCTAACGGGATGAAATTGGAGTTGAGGAATTGCAGGTTTTAGCTGGTACCTGATATTCTCGCTTCTGCGGAAATGGACCGCAGAAGCGTATGGAGGGTCGCAAAAGCGCTCCATGGCTTAGTAGGGTAGTTCCGCAGAAGCGGAACCCTTTTCGCACAAGTGAGCTCGCAGAAGCGGATGTACAATCGCAGAAGCGATTTTGGACTGGAGATGAAAATTCCGCAGAAGCGGAAAATTTCCGCAAATGCGGTAGTCGCAGAAGCGGCAAAGGTACCGCAGAAGCGGAAATAACTGGTCAGATATGGTTTTATTTCCCTTCGCGAATTTTTGAAAGGGGTTTCATATTTTAACTTCGGACTTAGGGTGTTCTTGAGCGATTTTGAAGAGGAAATTCAAGGACTTCGATCAGGTAAGCATTCATGGACTTAGAACTCAATTTTATCATGCAAATACATGAAATTACATTGAAAATTCAAGGAATTAAGGTAAAAAATGGTGGTTTAGGGCTTGAAACCTAAGAGAACAAAAATGAGAGTTTGAGGGGTCATTTGGACTCCGATTTTGGTGTTCTTTATATGTACAGACTCGTGGCGAGATAAGGAATCCGGTGATGTTAATTTTCTGATTTTTCGAGAAGTGGGCCCGGGGCTCGGGTTTTTGCCAACTTCGTGATTTTTGATATTTTTCGAGTCTTTTCGATTGGGTTATATTCCCTTAGCATATTGTGACGTATTCATTGTGGTTTTGGTCAGATTCGACGCACGAGGAGGTGAATTCGAAAGGCAAGGGCATAGCAAGCTAGGACTTTGGCCAGCTTGAGGTTAGTAATAAATGTAAATGCTGTGTTGAGGGTTTGAAACCCCGAATTTGCACAACGTAGTGCTATGTGAGGTGACTTGCACGCCGGATAACGGGCGTGGGGTAGAGCACCGTCAGGGATTGTGACTTGGTCCGTCCCGCTTAATAAAATTGATACCTATTTGATTGTAGATTTGTAATATCCTTATAAAAATGGATTAATTGTCATAATTGGGCTTCGTGCCAACTACTTGAATCCTTCAGGGATTATTTTAATGGTTTCTTACCATATCCATAAATATTAAACTCAGTCCTGGTATTTAATACTGTGTTTGAAATCTCAGCCATTTTCTTAAATTAAAAATTAAGTTAATATTTTAAATGAAGTTTGGGTTGAATATTTTTATACTATTGTGTGATTTTTGGACTGAGTATGGGATCGGGCTGCACGCCGCAGCAGTATTATAATGATATTGATATGAGGCCAAAGGCCTGTTTGATGCCACGAGATGGCTTATTATTGCGCTTGGGCCGTAAAGGGCCCCTCCCGGAGTCTGCACACCCCCAGTGAGCGCCGTCGACGTTAAATAAATGGAGCGGGCTGCACGGCCGCAGCGGGGTACTGGAGGTACCGGTTCATGTGTTGCATTGCATATTTATTGTCATTATTTCTTCATCTGTTCTGATGTTTATTCTAACTGTATTGCTGTTTAATGGTATTTTTAGCGTTACTTTGTGTTTATTTAGGATTTCTTATCCTCAGACCTTATTTATATTTATTACTTTCTGAGTTGGAAGTACTCACAATACTCCCTGCACCTTGTGTGCAGATCCAGGTACACCAAAGGGTGAGTGAGGGCTTGTTAGCCGAGCAGCAATTATCTGGGAGTGTCGAGGTAGCTGCATGGCGTTCGCAGCCTTGATCTCTCCCTTCTATCTTTTATTATTTTATTCGTATTGTTTTCCTTAGTCGGACTTGTAATAGGTGAATAATCTGTCTTCTAGTGCGTCATGTTCGTGTACTACCG